GTCTATCGACTGACCCTAGGCAAAGATATTCACTTTATCCAGGATATCCCAGACCAGCGCTCTATCGTCCGTCAATACATGAAGTATGATCATGAGATCCGATCTCCGCACAATGCTGTACAGATTGTGCTCCGGGCTCTTCAGATGGCGACAAGTACGCCGCAGGGCCCAACATATGTCATCGCATCGCGAGAGACACTCGAAGCACAAACATCGATCCAAAGCATCAAGCCTTCGCAAGATCCAGAGAAGAACCTCTGGGTGGAGAAAATCGGCCTCCACATGCAAGACGTCGCGCGCTTGGGCGACATTCTCATCAGGGCCAAGTCCCCTCTGATCGTCACGAGTTATGCCGGCCGGAATCCTGCTGCCTTTCGAGCGCTTCACGATTTGGCCCGGCGCCTCGCTATCCCCGTGCACGAGAATGCGCCGGTGGTTAACAATTTCCCGACGACTAGTTTCCTCCACCAAGGCCAAACTTGGAACGGCGGCGGGCAGCTCGAGGCCTTGGCCGAAGCAGACGTGGTCCTCGTCGTCGACTCGGATGTTCCATGGATACCGTCCGAGTCTAGGCCGAGCGATGAGGCCCGCGTCTTCCACCTCGACTGCGATCCTCTGAAAGGCAGCGCCACGCTCTGGAGTCTTCCGGCCGAGAAGCGCTGGATGTGTGATGCATCGGTGGCGTTGAAACAGCTAGACGAGTACGTCAAGACGAGCCTGGAACTCTTTACTGAAGCTGCAAAGAGTAGGATCAACGTCAGGACATCTCTGCTGACACGGCGTTTCGAGGCACGAGCGCGGAGACTCGAAGCAGAAGAAGTGGCCTCTTCAGACGGAAAGGTCACGGTGCCGTACTTTATGAGCCGCTTCCGCAAGGCGACAGAAGGTCTCGACGTATTAGCGCTCAACGAGAGCATGACCAATCTTGGCAAGGTCGCTGACCACCTACGGCACGACCAACACAACTCACTGTTGGGCAGTGGTGGCGGCTCGCTCGGGTGGTATTCTGGGGCTGCTGTTGGGGTGGCCATGGCGTTGGGAGAAGAGGCCGCTGTGGGTGATGCGGCCGACCGTCTTGTCACGGCGTTTGTGGGAGATGGAACGTTCCTGTTTGGGGTGCCTGCCAGTGCCTACTGGATGGCCATGCGGTATGCGACGCCGTACCTAACCGTCGTCTGGAATAACGGCGGCTGGACGAGCCCGAAGAATGCCTGCTTGAGGATTCATCCTGAGATGAAAGATTTTGTGCGACGTAGCGATGGCGGAGGACGGCATGATGGCAGCAGGGCAACAGCTTTGGCTGAGGCGATGGGCGTCAGCATTTCGCCGTCACCTTCGTTTGGAAAGATTGCTGAGGGTGCCGGTGATGCTTGGTGGACAGTCGTGAAGAGGGCAGACGAGGTCGATGGAGCCATCGCGGAGGCCGTTCGGATGGTGAGGGAGCTCAAGCGATGTGCAGTGATTGAGGTAGCCATTGCCAGTGTGTGATGCTGAGATGGTGGGAGCTCTCGGTGAAGATGGGTGTCAGGTGTCTCGGTCAAGGTCTCGGTATAAGGTGCCTGGAAGCTGTGCAGCGTAGTCCGCATCTGGTTTAGCGCATTCACAGCCGAGCCGTATTTTGCACCAGCCTCTTCTTTCTGTTGTTTTCCAGCCACAGCCTTGTCCTGTCTCGGTCGAGCTTCCTCTTATCTCATCTGGAGCCTTCCGCCTTCCCTTCGCTCGTTGTCTCCTCCAAGACACCACAACAACATTGCTGTCTGTCCCTCACTTCTTCGCCGATCACGCAGCGCCGTCATCTCCGAGTACCATCGCAGTCGCTTACTTGTAGTCGACGAAAGGCGCATAGTCGGGGAACACGTCTGCACGGCGTGTCATCCGCCAATTGAATCACGACAACCATCTCAAGCTACCTCCCCCGCGTCAACCTCGTCCACCACTGTCACCAGCAACAACCCTTCTCCCTTGGCTTCCCGTACATTCCGTCGCAGCCTCTACCTTGGCCTGGAATCTTGTCCTCTACTTTCATCACCCAGTGTCACTCTGCATTTGTCTCGACGACCTTTTCGAGCAGTCCTGGCTGATCAGTCATGTCCGCCGACGCAGAGGTAGCTGCTCAGCTGCCCAACGCCCTGCCCAACGGCCTGCTCGACAATCGCTCTGCCCAAGACCAGGATCCCGTCACCCCTCCCGACAATGACAGCGAAATTCTCGCACCGAACTCGCCTCTGCCGTCGACCGAAGCGCCGCCGTCACCCATCGATGAACCAAGTGCTTCTTTCAAGACTGAATACAACGATGACAGGCTCGCCTCGTCAGCCATTATCCCCTCATCTCTGACACCGCCGCCGTCCTCTCAAGTGCCCTCTCACGCCCGCAATGGCGTCCTGCCGAGCGCTTACATCGCTTCCCAACGCTCTACCCTTTTTTCTCCTCCCGCCACGGGGCTCGCCGCTTTTCGACCAGCAGAAGTCGCTCTGGCCGCCGACTACGTGCCACCCGCACCGCAGCAGGTGCTTGAGGCGACGGCCGACGAGCTGCGCGCCATGATGCAGACGTGCATTGCCGAGCAGGCGAGGCTCAAGATGGAGGCGGCCCACCACAAGCTGCAATACAACCTGCTGAGTCTGCAGGCCGACGAGGATGCAAAGCGGGCCGAGGTTGAATTCGAAATGATGAGGCGCGAGGTGGAGGCTCTGAGGACGGCCGAGTACTCTCAGCATGCCCGCCGGGAGCTCAGTGCTGCTACCGAGTCGGCCCAGCTCAAGTACCTGCAGATGAAGACGCTGTACGAGGATTCCGTCGAGGAGAACCGTGCCCTGAGCCGAAGATTCAAAATGGCCAAGAAGCTGGTCTCGCAGAAGGAGGAGGAGGTCACGAGCCTCAGTGAGGAGAGGGACATGCTTCTCAACCGCATCCGCGAGAACAGAGAGCACTTTACCATGCTCTGCAACCCCGGCGGCATGTTCCACGGGGCCATGACGCCGACGAAGGCGTCACAGAATGTGTCGACCCCCCAGCAGGTGCGGGCGCCCACACGACAGGCGCCCAAGACGGTGCCAGACATCCGCACGGCTCCCTCTCCCGGTCAGGAGCCCATGGCTGCCCTGCTTCAAGCGCTGAGCCAGGATAACAACAGCGCTCCTTCGACGCCCGTTGCCGCAGCTCGCCCAGTTCCTCGTCTGTCGGCGAAGCACAAGCGCAACGCCCAGTCTCTCTCATCGCTGCCCACGACGCCCGGCTACAAGCCTCGTGGTGAGCATGTGGGCCTCCTGCCGTCAGTTGACCTTGTACCGCAGACGGAGCCGCCTGCACGTTACTCCAACAGGCAATTCGCACCGCCGTCGCCGACACCACGACGCGAGCGTTTCCACAAGAGCCGTGAGAGTACCATTTCGGCCGTCGACGACAATGAAGAGCTGGCCAGGCAGGCCCTCGAATCCGTTGCCAAGTCAGCTTCTTTCCTCTCGCAAGCCACTCGTGGATCTCAGCGCGGCGCTCGACGGCCGCTGCCAAACAATGGCGAGCACGACGACGATGATGAGGCATTTGAGAGCCAGGCGAGCCAGGCGGCGTCGGAGATGTTGCGCAGGGATCCACGCTCAAGCTTTGAGATGGCGAGCGAGGCCCGGAGCGGGACCCCAGCGGCAGCGGAGAAGAGCGCGAGGCTGCAGGCGAGGCTCCTGTCGGGCATGGCGGGGGGCAACGGAGGCGAGAAGAGGAAGTTCAGCGGCGGCATCCCACCGCCCGAGGATCCAAGGCAGATACAGGCAAGCCCGCCGAAGAAGCTGCGCGTCAGCACGCAGGTTGGTGACGGCTCGAGTGTGGGTCTGGGGATACAGTATGGGCAGCATTAGCACGGCATGTGCGACTATTTGCATTTTTACAAGTATATCTTTGGGTATCCTTTGATGACTGATACGACATTTGGGAAAAGGAGTTTGGATGGGTTTATGGTCACGACGGGAGAGTGACCCATTTTGGCGATAAATTGATGGATAGCCTTGGACTGCCAGCTCTATCGACCTGAAGCAACTCCAGGTATGGAGTCCAGATATGGAGTCCAGACATGGAGTAGAACAGACGATGGCAGCCATGTCTGCTGGGCTGGGAAGAGCTGGGAAGAGGAATACACTCAATGATGATAGCCTCAGCTTTGCTGCGCACAAGTGCCGTCCGTGTGATGGTGTCATTCAGCAGCACAGCATTCTTCAGGCCACTAACGGGCGTCGATCTTGACAGGGCGATCAGCACCAGCCACGCGTCGCATACTCTCAGTTAGCTTCCAAGCTAGGGAGGCCCTTTGTTACCAAGGACGATGAAGATGGAGCAAATAATGACTGTCACGTGTCATGGCATACCAGCGTCGTCCCAAAAGCAGGGCCACTTTGCCTTGGACCGCCCGCACCACAACGCACATCACACCAAAGGCGTCACGACTAGACTGACTCGCGGGCCCTGGTCGTGCTTGTGCTTGTGCTTGTGCTAATGCTGAAGCTGAAGCTGGTCGCTAGCCGGCACTTCCCTCCTCCCCGCCCCTAACAGCTCCGTGATCGATCCCTCTCCGCCTTGCCACTCGCAACTCTCCACCACCAAGTCGCCGCCGGTGTCCCCAAGCTCCGAGCCAATCCTCGTTGTTTTCCCCCCCTTCGAGCCAATGCTGTTCGCCCCGATCCCCCTCGTGAGCTTTGACTGGGAGCACCTCTTTAAGGCTGCACGTTTCCTTGCGCGCGTGTGCGAGTCCCGGGGCCCCCGTTGCTGTCAGGAACCCAATGAATGCCGTCTCAACTCGGCGTGGCCGTACAGCGCAGTTTTGTCTATTGAGCCTCCTTCTCGAAGCCGGCTTCTATTGTCCGACTGACTGGCATTAGCCCACCCTCGGCGCTCGTCTCCCATTCGCGCCTCCGTGCCGTTTTTCCCTAACGACCCTGACTTGTTCGCGAGTAAGAGGGCGTGGTTGCTGGTATACAAAGCCCCCCAGCTCGACGCATGACACGCTCGCCATGAGCGAGAGCATGTCGGCCGCCAAACGGCGGCAGCGGCGGATCCCGGACGAGTTTCGCAAGAGAAACGCCCAGAGCTGCGACCTCTGCAGAAAGGTGAGTTCCGTTCAACAAGTCATTGGTGCGCCCGCGGAAACCAGTGGTCCGCCGTCGTATCGATGCCGGCAGGGGACTGACGATCTGCAGCGAAGATGCCGTTGCGTGCCTGCGCCGGATGGTCAGGGGTGTGTCGCTTGTCATGAGCACAATGTGCCGTGCGCTTACACGACGCCGCGGAAGACGCGGTTCTACGGGAGTGTCGACGATTTGAGCGATCGGTACATATCTCATTTTACCTTGTTTTCGTTTCTCTCTTAGCCGCTGGCGCCTTTGGGTTGACTGACGGAATAGATATCGCTGTCTGGATGCCATTGTCAAAGGAGCGTTCCCCAACGACTTGACCGCGACGGCGGAGCATCTCGTCGAGCTTGGCCGGCGCATGGGGTATTCCATGCCCGACTTCTCCCAGCCGCGGAGAAGGGGCGTCAAGATTGAGGATCTCGTGCGCGCGCCGGATCCTGTGGGTTCTTCCCGGCACAACTCGGCTGCTGAATCAAGGATCTCTGGCTCGGAACTGGGTACTGGGTCGAGGCGTCAAGCGAGGTCGGCACCGACGATGCTACCTCTGCTGCTGCTGCGGCGTCGGGGGCCGAGGACGCTCAGTTGTCGCTCATCAGAGACACCTCTGGCAATGAGCACTACATCGGCCCCTCGGGCACTCTCAACTTTCTGAGCCAGCTAAGGCGACTGATGGTCAGCGGCGAGGGAACGCCTGAGGCCCAGCCTGAGGTTGTCACCAAGTTCACGCAGGACGATACGGCACAGGCGCTCGAGGCTGATGATGCCCCTGAGGCACCTGGGGCCCTAGACCCGGCGACACAGACGGATGGTCCCCTCGACGGGCCTTCTCCGGCTTCCGTCACGTCGGTCACGTCTATCGCCAAGGACTTTACGCGCATACCGACTGTCGACCTTGATGAGACGCTTCGCGGCCTGCCGGCCGACGAGACTCTCGAGCTCCTCGTGCAGTCGTACTTTAAGAACGTCCACGACGACTACCCTCTGTTCCACCGAGCAACCTTTGAAGACGAGTACGAACTCTACATTGTCCAGGCCAGACGCCGGCTGCACTTCATGTCCCAGAGCCTGTCCCAGAGCCAAGCCCAACCCCAGAATCGAAGCAACGCCGTTCCCGACTGGGGCTGGATGGGCTGCCTGCACATGATCATCGTCTTCGGCTCCATCGCCCGCCCCGACATCCCCGGCGTCGACCACTCGCACCTACGGCGGCGCTCGGTGGCGGCGGCGCGGACGCTTCTGCCGCAGTTCATCTCCAAGTGCACCCTCTCCAACGTGCGCGTCCTCGTGCTCCTGTCGCTCTTCCTGCACAACAACAACGAGCGCAACGCGGCCTGGAACCTCGTCGGCACGGCGACGCGCATCGCCTTTGCCCTCGGTCTGCACCGCAGCGACACGAGCTCGTCGCTGCGCCCGCTCGACCGCGAGGTCCGCAGATGGGTCTTCTGCACGCTCTACTCGTTTGAGCAGTTCCTCGCCTCGAGCCTGGGCCGGCCCAGCGGCCTGCAGGAGATGGACGTCGAGATTGTGCCGCCGCGGGAGGGCTTCCTCGACGCGGGGACGGGCACCGATGCCAAGCTCGTCTTCCTGTCGCTGAGGCTGCAGGCCATTCTCGCGCGCACGCGCTTCGCCTACGCGCGGCCGCAGCGCCGCCCCGACGCCGAGGGCCAGGACGCCGTGCCGAGGCCGAGCGTCGACGACATCATGCGGTCGCTCGCCGCCTGGAAGCGCGACGTCGCCGAGAACCCCAGCTTCCACATGCCCGACATCCAGACGCGGGTGTCGCTGCGCGGCAGCGGCAACGGCAGCAGCAGCGCCCCCCTCGACGACGACGAGGACAGCGATGCCATGTCCTTTGACGAGCTCAAGGTCGTGCTGTCGTGGAAGACGAGGGCGCAGCTGCGCGCCGTGCTCCTGCTGCACATCCAGTACCACTACATTGCCATTGTCGCGGCGCGGCCCGTCCTGCTCCGCGAGATTGCCGCCGCGCGCAAGGCGCTGCGCGACGAGGGAGCGGCCGCGCCGCCCGCCATGTCGGCCGTCGCCGACGCCTGCGTGCGCCACGCCGTGCAGCTGACGTACATGGTGCTCTTCCTCGACGGCTTCGAGCTCGTCAACGGGCTTTCTGGCCTCGACGTCTTCTACGCCTACTGCGCTGCCATGGTCCTCATCCTGCGGCTGCTGCGCAGGCCGCCTGCCGCCGAGGGCGCCGAGGGCGCCGAGGCCTCGGATCAGCGTGAGGAGCAGGTCCAGGCTGTCATTCGGGAGCTCGTGCTCAAGTCGCAGAGTGTCCTCAACCGGACGAACAAGAGCGGTTCGATGACGCGGTTCGCCTCGGTCGTCGATGCGTTTGCCGAGTGTACAAGCCAGACGCGGGGCGCGCGGGAAGACGGCGCGACGGCGCTGCCGGGGAGTGCCTGGTCGCGGGGGGTCTCTGGCGGTGGTGTCTCTGCGCTGCCCCGACAGCCTGCGGCTCTTGACGCCGGCCAGTTTCCGTATGGCATGATGGGTACTGGGGTCATGGGTGTGCCGCCGGGACAGGCCTTTTCGATGGCGGAGCCGATGGGATTTGGACAGGCGACGACATATGGGGCGCCGAACGTGCAGCTTGATGACGGGGGGTTCTATTTCCATCCGTTCAACGGCAGCGAAACAACGGCGCCTCCGGAATGGGGCGACATGGAGATGGTCATGGCCGGGTACGGCATGCCACGATAGTCGGTGCTGGTATCTGGGGGATCCCATATACGTCTGCGTCTCCAGGATGCTGGTCTATGTATCTACGCTCCGATACTAGGATCAGACAGGGACCGTCAAGCGAGGAAAACAGCACTCGCATGGTCTGTATCAAATAAGCGCTCTGAATTCGCAAGCTGCGTGGCTACAATGTGTATCGGAAATCGGGATGCTTCTCTCCCAACCTCCGCACCTCGTCCTCCGGCAGATTCCGCCGATACTCTCTCTCGCCCCTTTCTCGCGCCTGGTTCTCCCTCTGGCAACACACCCACATGATGACGGCCATGGCGATGCCCACGGCCTGAAACCCGATGCACATGCTGATGCCCGCCACGTACTGCGGCTCGTCCTTGGCGGGAAACACGACGGCCGAGATGATGCCGCCGAGCTGACCGCAGCTAATGGCGAACGCCGTCGCCGTGCCGCGCTTCACGTTACCGACGAGCTGGTTGACACTGCCAAGACAAAGTCAGACTTTGATCCCAGAAGGTTGTCCATCGGCCGCAACAGGGAATGGGACGAGCAACTCACGTCCAAGCAATGACAAGCGGCTGGCACACGTAAATGCCCACGGCCGCAAGATACAGCCCCGCATACCGCACGCCTCCGTCCGTCGGCACCATGACGACGAGCAAGCCGACGATGCTCGTCGCGAAGCCGCCGAGACAGTACACGCCGCGGCGGCGCGTGCGGTCGGACACGACGCCGACGAGAACAGACACGACGCCCGACGCGACGCGCACGGGCGTCGACAGCAGGTTGGACTTGAGCGGGCCCCAGCCAAAGGTGCGCAGGATGGTCGGCGTGAAGACGGAGATGCTGTAGGCTGTGACGCAGACGGCGAGGTAGAGGACGCCGCCGGCGAGGACCTTCCAGTCGCGCAGGGCGCGCAGCACGCGGCGCGGCGTCATGGGCTCGTGGCCGGCGCCGGGGCCGAGGCCGCGGGCGTCGCGA